GCAAACTATAGACATGAAGAGCAGATCAGTAGTTGCCAGGGACAGAAGGGTTGAACACAAAGAGGCAGCACAAAAGGTACATACACTTTTATCATACTGGTGGTTACAAGTTTCCATTCATTTGTCAAAACTAGTAACTGTATATTAAGTATGAAGAGTGACTTGCTGTATGTAACCAAACAAACAGAAATTTAAAAAAAAAAAAAAAAAAAAAAAAGGGATGCATCTGGGCTTCTCCTCCTACGGGAGATAGGATACTTGGCAACAGATTACTGCCTCTGCCTAGAACTGAAAAGTGGATGAAATGAATTACTCGCTTAAAAATAGCAGTAAGCTACCAAGATAAGAAAAATGGAGTACTGCAGAAACACTGACAAGATGGCTATGATAAGTGTTTTTTTTTTCCTTTTTGTCTTTTTTCGGGACCGGTAACAGGATTGCAACCCCCAGGGCCGCGCCCGTACCGCGACCGGCAACGGGATCGCAACCCTCGGTGTCACGCCCGCACTGCACTCAACCAGTGAGCGGACCGGTCTCTATATGGGATCCGAACGCTCAGCGGGAGCGCCACAGCACTCCCAAGCACCGCACTCTACCGAGTGCGCCACCGGGCCAGCCCCTATGATAAGTGTTTTAATCCTGATAGAATATACCCACATTGGAGCAGGCTTAGAAATAGCTCAAAATTCACTGCAAACTCAGGCAGGGCAAGAAGTGTGGCGAGATGAGTACTCAGCATAACCTTAACAGATTATTTACAAAGCTTAAAGCACAAAGTTTAATTTCCCATTAGAATAAACTCTGAAAGTTCAGGTGTTACAGCTGAGAATGATAATAATCTAAAAGGGAGACTTCAAAAAGGAGAGCCAAAATTTTCAGCACTCTCACAAAAACCAGCATTTGGAATCAAGAGAGTGTGTGGCCCCACAGAATATACTCAGTTAAAAACCAGGAAGAGCAATGCAGAAGACCATTGAATATTTACCTATCTCTAATTCACTAGTCTCTGTATTGAGTTAAAATCACCAACATCACTCTGTCCAGACAGAACAATTTTTTTTTTTTCCTTTTTGTCTTTTTATACTGACCGGTAATGGGATCGCAACACTCGGTGTTGCGCCCGCACCGCGCTCAGCCAGTGAGTGGAACCGGTCTCCACATGGCATCCAAACCCTCGGCGGAAGCATCGCCACGCTCTCAAGTGGCGCACTCTCCAGTGCGCCACCGGGCCAGCCCTGAACAATTATGATCTCTAAAAGTTGATAGCATTTGGAACCTCTACACTTTATCCTGCACTCAATGTAACTACTAGCTAGAAAACCATTGTGGGAAATCAAGAGTGAAAAAACCCTGAAAACAGAAAGAGACCCATGAGTGATCCATTTAGCAAATAAGTACAATAAAATAAACGTAATTAAATACTCAAGAAATACGAAGAAGACACAAATAATTAATAAATTAATTTAAAAATGGGTAATTACACAAGAGGATGGACTCTATAAAAAATTTTAACTTTTGAAAATAGAACTATAAAATCGAAAATTAAAAATGCATTCTATGGGGCCGGCCTGGTAGTGCACTAGTGAGTGTGCCGCTTGGGAGCGCAGCGGCGCTCCCGCTGAGGGTTTGGATCCCATTTTTAAATTAATTTATTAATTATTTGTGTCTTCTTCGTATTTCTTGAGTATTT